GCGGGGGCGCCCGGGGCAGTGGGCAGGAGCTGGAACCCTGGAGGAAGCGGGAAGTGGTGGGGGGCTTGGTTTCACCTCTCCCTGGAAAGAGTGACTTTCTCTCTCCCACAGGGACCCCCAGGGCTCCCTGGCCTCCGTGGTGATGCTGGAGCCAAGGGAGAGAAGGTGAGTGACAGACACGTGGCCAGGTGTCTCTCCCCTCCCCCCACACCGGCCCTCACCCCAGACGGCGGGACCTGTGCTTCCTGCTCTGCTCTGGCCTCCAGCACCCGCCCTTCGGGCCTTAGCGAGGGCTCCTCACAGCCCTGGCTTCTGGGCTCTGAGCGTGGTCCCCAGCACCCGCGTCTCCTCTGCTTCTCCTGACACCCGTCCTCTTCTCCAGGGCCACCCAGGTCTCATCGGGCTGATCGGGCCCCCGGGGGAGCAGGGAGAGAAGGGAGACCGGGGGCTTCCTGGCCCTCAGGGCTCCGCTGGACAGAAGGGGGAGACGGTGAGGAGAGGCGCGTCCTGGTGGGGGGGGGGGGAGGTTCCCGTGGGGGGTGGGCTGGGGGCGCAGGGAGGACCCAGTTGAACGAGGCCCTCCCTTTCCTAGGGCATCCCCGGAGCCTCTGGCCCCATTGGTCCCGGAGGGCCCCCTGGCCTCACTGTGAGTACCATCTGTTCCCCCACGAAACCCTAACCCCCGGCTTCCATGGCAACGCCAGCCTAACAGGCACAGGCCTCAGTTTCCCCCATGTGTCCTCACACCGCAGTGTCTCCTCCCCCTTCCCAGGTCTCCTGCCCCCATGTCCCCTCATGCCCTCCTGTAATCCCACTGCCCGGTGGACGCCTGGCCTTGCCTCTCCATTCCTGCGTCCTGACCTTCCCTGTGTGACGGTCTCTTTCTTGTTTCTCATTTCACAGGGACCTGCTGGCCCCAAGGGAGCCAAGGGAGCCACAGTGAGTGACCCCGCCCTGGCCTGCCCGCCCCACGCTGGACTGGGCACTGTCTCTCCAGAGCAGTGCTCCCCCCAGGGCGCCCCTCACTCCCGGCCTGGATACTGAGTTGACCCCACTGTGACCTTGACCCCTCCATGACCTCGTTTGCTCCTTTGGCAGGGCCCAGCGGGACCCAAGGGAGAGAAGGGCGTCCAGGGCCCTCCGGGACACCCGGTGAGTTAGGAGGCCTGGCCCGCTTCCCTGGCGTCCCTCCCTGTCCTGCACCTTCTCGGCTTCACCCCCACCCTCTCCATCTGTCCCTCCACCCAGGGCCCCCCAGGCGAGGTGATCCAGCCCCTGCCCATCCAGATGCCCAAGAAGACTCGGCGCTCAGTGGACGGAAGCCGCCTGATGCAGGAAGATGAGGCCGCGCCGACCGGGGGCGCCCCGGGCAGTGCTGGGGGGCTGGAGGAGATCTTTGGCTCGCTGGACTCCCTGCGGGAGGAGATCGAGCAGATGAGGCGGCCGACAGGGACCCAGGACAGCCCTGGACGCACCTGCCAGGACCTGAAGCTCTGCCACCCAGAGCTGCCCGATGGTCAGTGCCAGCCTCAGGGCACACAGCAAGACCAACAGCCGCGTGGGCGGGACGAGCAGAGTGGTGTTGCTGGAGTCGGGGACGGTGTTGGGTGGGGGTGAGGGGACTGGAACAGTGGCTCCTACCAGTACTAGAAACCGACATGGTCCGACCAGTGTGCAGCAGCTGCTGCCAGCCCGCCGTCTGCAGGAATAGATAGCATACACGTGTGCACAGGGCCTGCATTCACACAGACAGACACGTGCGCAAACCTACAGCCATGCTGTGTGCAAACCTATAGCTACATATGTGTGCAAACCTACAGCAACACATGTGTGCAAACCTACAGCCACACACGTGTGCAAACCTACAGCCACACACTCATCGTGATCAGGGCCTGGGGATGCTGCTGGCGGGTGTCAGGGAAGGGGGTGGGTGTGAGGGAAACGGAAGTGCAGGACTGTGCTAGGGGCTCTGGTGGGAGGGCAGGGGCTGGAGGCTGGGAGCGTTGTAGGCAGGGCTGGGGTGTGGGGATGTGGTGCAAAGAGCATCTTGGGTCTGAGCTCCCCGCCCCTCCCCCACAGGAGAGTACTGGGTGGACCCCAACCAGGGCTGCGCCCGTGACGCCTTCCGGGTGTTCTGCAACTTCACGGCCGGTGGGGAGACCTGCGTGCAGCCCCGGGACGATGTCACACAGGTGCTGGCCCGGCGCCCTGCCTGTGTGTGTGTGTGTGTGTGTGGGGCGGGGGGTGGTGGTGGTTCTGGGTGTACGTGACAGTCAAGTTCCCGGCGGCGTTACCCCTGCAGACAACTGGCCCTTCTCCATTCCTGCGCCCTCTTCCTTCCTCCTCACCAGCCCCCGTGCTCACCACCCCTGCAAAACCAAGGCAGACATTCGCCTGTCCTGTACCCCAGGCTCCTGGCTCCCACTCAGGCCCTTCTTTTCCCTGCCCATGCCCCGGCCCAGCCACCCTCTTCTGGCCTTGACCGCAGCCCCTCTCCTCCAGTTCTCCTACGTGGACTCAGAGGGCTCCCCGGTAGGCGTGGTCCAGCTCACCTTCCTGCGGCTGCTCAGCGTCTCCGCCCACCAGGACGTCTCCTACCCGTGCTCTGGGCTGGCCCGGGACGGCCCCCTGAAGCTCAGGGGGGCCAATGAGGATGAGCTGAGCCCAGACACCAGCCCCTACGTCAAGGAATTCAGAGCCGGCTGTCAGGTGGGAAGGGAAGCAGGAAGAGCTCAGGTGGGGATGCAGGGGTGGGGAGGATGGAAATGGGTTCACCTGTGTGCAGACAGCAGCATCACCACGTACACACGTTTACACAGGTGGCCCAGCAGAGGCACAGGGTCACACAGGTACATGCACATGTGAATCACGCCGGCTAATATCACACAGCCCCCCCCCCCCCCCCCCCCCCCCCCAACACACACATACACACAGGCACATACACCTCCCTGCCTTTCCCGTCATGGGACGCGTTGGGGGAATCACCTCTCACGGTGCTCAGAGGAGAGGCCAGCCTGGGCTGTGCCCTCCACCCAGCTCACCCCTCCTGTCTCCCCCTCCAGACACAGCAAGGCCGGACGGTGCTGGAGGTGCGGACCCCTGTGCTGGAGCAGCTGCCAGTGCTGGACGCCTCCTTCTCAGACCTGGGGGCCCCCCCGAGGCGGGGTGGGGTGCTGCTGGGGCCTGTCTGCTTCATGGGCTAGGATTCTTCTCTGTCCGACCCTGTCAGTGGAAACCAGGCCCCTGCAGCCCACCGCATCGGCTCTGGGCCACCTCCCAGGAGGGCTCCTCACCAGCTGGGGCCCTGGGTCAGGACACGGAGAGCCCCCATCAGGGGCAGACCAGGGAGGGGGGAGCGGTGCCAGGCCAGCCCGGGGAGGGGTGGCACCTGGGGCTCCGGGCCCCCCACCTGGAGCCTGTGACCTGTTAGACAGCTGACACACTTATTTAAAACTCACCTCCCAATCACCCCAAACAAGAGGAAGAGAAAGGACACTGTGTATTTTGTATTTAAAAGTAATTATATTAATTATTTAAAGAGTGGAAAACGGAGTAACAACAAAGAGAGAAATGCCAACCAGATCAGCGGACCCGGGACAGGGCTCTGCTGGGATGACCCTGGTCCCGTCCTTGCCTCAGGGCTTCCCCAGGGACCGAACCCCAGCTCCTGCCCGGCCCCAGGAGCGTAGCACCCACTGTGAACATTGGAATACACGGCTCTTGCCTCAGGGCTCTCTCATCTCCACTTGCTGGGTGTTTGGCTCCGACCCACGCACTTGCTCTCCTTCACCTGGCCTGGGCCTCGGGGGCTGGGCTTGGGGACCTGGCCCCTGTCCTGGGGGGAACGGGATAGTGAAGGGTGTGCAGGGCCTGGATGCACAGACTGCTGAAGCATCAGATCGACATCAGCTGGGTGGTCACCAGGCCCCGAGCCCCTGAGGACCCCCATGGCCATCCTGGCCCGTCCTGTCCCTCCCCTGGGCACCCTCCCTTCCCTGACCCTGCAGTTGAAGGGCTAACGTGAGGCCATGGATGGAAGGGCCCCCCAGGGCCTTGTCTAGCCCTAGACCCAGCGGCCGCTCCGACTGATGGTTAAACAATGTGATTGTTTCCTCCTAGGGTGTGTGTGTGATGCTGTGTTACTTCCATCCCCACAAACCCTTATCCAACCCCCATGCCTCCGGGCGGAGCTGTAGCCAGAAGTGGATGGCTTAATCCCTGTTCCCTGGGGGCCTGCCCAGCTGGGTGTCACAGTGGGTCCCGGTTCCATCTGACACCCGTGCTGGCCCGGCTCTGGGGAAGGTGTGCCTCCAACTCCCCGGCCCCATCCCGTCCCCATCTTTAGGGACTTCAGGCCCGGAAGGAGCCTTAGGTGCCCATGCGAGACCGAGGCTCGTCTCCATAACAACGTTCCCACACCTGTAGCTCTGGGCCTCTCTCCCT